TGGCCAAACGCCTCGTCTGGCAGGTGACAAACGCGCACTGCCTTTGATATGGCCGCATGTTGCAACCACCATGCTTTTGACTCAATCAGCTTTTCCCAACTTATACATGCGGTTCCCGCGTTGAACTCCGCAAAGTCTGCAGACTACAACTAAAATTATACTGGGGGTCCTATGATTGGTTCTCTCGAGGTGGAAAGAACTTTCTGAAGTCGGTGATTGGCGCCTCGGTTGTCACTGCTCGCGTGCTTACATCCCCGTAGTGTCTCAGGCATGTCAGCGCTTTCTCACTCACATCTTCCTTCCGGACGCCTGGTGACTCAACTCCCGACTGCAAAAACCGACTCCGATCGATAAATTTCCTTTCGTTGGTTGGCCTTCCCATGTCGCTCCTCGAGTATAAAACTTCCTTCATCTTCTTCTCCGCATGTTGTCCACTAGGCGTCATCAATGGCCGTCTGCTGCATCCGCTCACCTTGGCCTATGGTTCATGAATCTCACCATTTTCGCCTATTGAACATGGCATGTACATCGCGTAGCCGCTCCGCCGTCCATCGACTCCAAGAAGCCCTTGAGGCGACTGGGGTCGCGAGTCACAAGCCAGACCCCCCACAGTGAGTGATGCAGCCGAAAGACATCCTGCCTCCATGAAAGACAGTTACTGCAATCTACGGGATTTATTGTAGGAATGGCGACCGCAACTATATCGGCATACACATTTCAGCTAAAGTCTGCTCCATTGGCGCTCATCAGGCTTCTGGAAGCAAGTAGAAGCTAGGATAGAAACTTCGGGCGAGGTCCTAGTTCGTTTCGTGTGACTATTGTTCAGTCGAGTTGGTGTTGGAGAGAGGGATCAGAGATAGCATATTACAACATGCAGCTAACTCTCATCAATTATTTTGAGTCAAAACATGTATGGCATTCGACACCCTAACGTTTGCCGCTGTGTTGCTGTGGTTGATATGCCCGCATCCCTGTAATAAAGCGCTGGCTTATTCAGTCAGCGCAGCACTTCATCTAGCAGTCATCCCTTCGAGAAAGAGGGTCTTCTTCAGAGTCACGACCTCCCTCTCCTCGTATAAATTCAATAT